AAAGTCTTTGAACATAGTAACCACTTCACTTTTGAATTTCAAGAGATATAACCAAGTGATTCTTGTAAAATCATCAACAAATGTCACAAAATATTTGTAGCCATCAAATGATTCATTAATTGGACCCCAAATATCTGAGTGTACAATTTCAAAAGGCTTACTAGCTCTAGACAAGGAAGAATTAAATGGTAGTCTAGCGAATTTGAAGAAATTACAAGTGTCACACTTGATAAGAGTTTGACACATAGTAGGAAATAGCTTAGACAAAATAGGTGAGGATGGATGTGCTAGACGTTAGTGCCACAAATGTGGGTCTTGTGGCTGTTTTGACTTAAGGATGCACTAACTTGAAGGCCTTTGGACAGTGAGCAATTTCTTGGCAAATAATAGAGACCATTGAGAAAGAAACCTTCACCAATCGTCTCGATGACTAGGTCTTGAAAAATCACATTTTTTGGTGAGAAAATTGCATGATAATTTAATGTTTTGGTAATTTTTCCATTGGAAAGAAGTTGAAAAGGGAAGGCAGGAACATATAGGGCAGTGGACTCAACTTGGTTCGAAATTAACCTAATTTTTCCTCTACCTATAACAAAGACTCATTTTCCATTTTCAACAGACACTTGAGAGGACATATTTTGAAATCCATCCAAGTTTGTTCTTTGGTTTGTCATGTGATTAGTGGCACCCGAATCAATGATATAACAATCATGCACACGAATAGTATTTAGAGTAGTAAAAAAAATGGAAGATACCTGGGGGAGCTTCCTGTGGTACACATTCAGCCTCTGCTAGGAACCTCGCAAACTTGCCAAGCATCGCAAAATGGTTCTCGGATTCAGTCATCGTTGCCTCTTGACCATTTCTATTCCCTTCCTTATGTTGAAAAAATGAAGCAAATTCATTTATTAGAGCAGCATGGTTTGAAGTAAAATCTAACAGCTATCAGTGTCGACATAATTTGAAGTAGACTCTACGTGGTTTGCCATATAACTGACTTTGTATGGTGAACTAGTAACAACCTTGTATGGTCCCTTGATGTCCTTGTTTAACTTTGGTTTCTGCTCGGGATGAAGTATCCAGCACCGATCCTTGGTATGACCAATATCACAATAGCCAATTCCAAGACAATGATCACACTTCAAGTTAGGACGCTTACCTTTGTAAACCTTCACCTCAAGTGGCTGGTAGTTTGAGGCATATGCTCAAGATTCTCGTGTGACAACTTTGGTGTCTAACTACATGACCTGTCTTTTGACCTCTTCACGTTGAATAGTGGCACACACACTAGAGAAAGACGGAAGTTCTGAAGTCATCAAAATGTGACTTCTAAAGTCTTCATACTCTGAGCTTAAGCTCGCTAGTAGTTGAAAATTTTTGTCCTCCTCGACTCTTTTTAACAACACCATAGCATCTGTGATGTGGGGTTGATAAACATCTAGCTCATTCCACATAGTGGTAAGGTTGCCAAGATGTTGCACGAATGACTTGTTTTCTTGTTGAAGAGCTGCAAAGTCTCTCTTAAGTTGAAAGACACAGACCGAGTTGTTTTGATTGCCATACATTTCCTTCACTTGGTTCCACATATGTTATGAGATATTAGAACAGCTAAAAATTTCAGCAATTTTCCTCTCATAGAATTTAGCAGCCATGACATAACTAACTGATCTTTGCATAGCCATGCTTCATAATTTGGAGACGAAATTTCTGGTGCTTGAATGACTCCATTGATGAAGCCGAGCTTGGCTCTTCCACCAAGAACCAAAGTAACTGCATTGACTAAGGGAGATAATTAAATTCATTCAGCAAAACTGAACTAAGTCTTTGAGTTGGGTTGATATCAACCTCAAAGAAATTTGTAGGCGATGAAGCAAGAGTGCTCTCAACTTCTTGATTGACTGAATTTTCTTTTGCCATATTGTTGGCTGAGAAGAGTGAAAGACCACGACAAAAGGTTGTAGAGACAGGTCTAAGAAGGACACTGCTCTGATACTATGTGGAAAAATGAGTTTTAATATATTTCCTATAATGAATTGTGTTTACAACAAGGTGCACTATATGATGCAGCAAAACACAAGGGAAGATACATGCCATCTTCTCCTTGATTTAAGGCCTAAACAATGGCTTTTAACTAATTACAAAGCATTCCTTGATTTAAGGAGATTTACATCAAGGAGTCACCTAAAGTCCCTGAAACCCTAGTTTCAAGGAGCAGCAGCATGTTGCTGCAGGAAGGGTAGCGATAAGACTTTCTGCTACTGAAAACTAGGGTGGCTGCAGTAAACTTTAGGGGTTACCTTGCTATGATCTTTTGTTCAAGAGTGAGGCTAAGCCCACCCCCTCCCTCCTAGTGTAGATAATATGTTTCTTTTCAAAAGTTAAAAATAGGGTAGGAGTTGGAGTTGTAATCAAATTGGTAAAGTTATTTCATACGTTTTAATCAATGGTAAAGTTATTTTCATATATACAAGTGGTCATCTACCACAGTGGTGGAGAGGAGTGTTGTCCTTATACCAATGCGTGGGTTCGAACCCCGTTTGCTTTATAATCTAATATGTAATCTAACAAATATATCGCTTGACAAAAAAAAAAAAAAAAAAAAAAAACAGAAGAAGTTATTTTCATATATTAACTATACTATTCTTTCACATAGGGTTAATTACAGTAACATCCCCTGAAGTTTAATGTATTTTCACAAAACTCCCCCACGTTTAAAACATTACACTAATACCCCCACATTTACTTTCACATAACCCTTGTTGGTCAAAAAGTCATATTAATAGGCCAAATCTACCCTTACAATTACTTACAAACAAAATGAAAAAAAAAAAAAAACCTTTATAAATAAAAAATAAAAGAAATCAAATTAAAAATTAATAAAACATTAAAACAAGCAAAAAAATTTGACAGAATCTCACATCTTCTCCTCCTCCATCTTCTTCACCCTTGAATCCAAACATTTAACTTCCCTTAGTTTTTTCACTGCGGACCCACAATTCCCAACTACCCTTTCCCCAACTCATTTCCAGCAACACCCTTGGTTCGTATGTGCTGATTTAGGGTTCTGGAACGCTTCGTATATATATGATACAAGAAAAGAATAAAACTACTGTAATGAGGAGTCAACTCACGCCAATAAAAATTATACACAAATCAAATGTAGAAAACATGAGAAGATTTCTGAAAATCAACGGAGATGGATTCAAAGAGTCGAATACAAGCAATTTGTTGTGCAGTTGAAGATCAAGAAAATGCATCTAGAGAGAAGATGATGAGGTTGAAGCTCAAGAAAATGCAGCCAGAGAGAAGATGATGAGGGACAAATAATAATGTTCTTGTTTTGGACAAACGATAATGTTAATGAGTTTATTTGTTAAATGTTAGGAGGTAGCGGGACCGGTAGGGATCGAATCCGTACTAAAATATACATGTCTACTATTATTTTTCATCGTTGCGGTAGATCGTTTTATGTTTATTTATAAGATTAAATTTTTTTAATGTAATGTTTAATTTGATTTGACTGTTCTATTTATTTATAAAATCTCCTTTTTAGTATTTAAGTAATTAATTATAAGGATAGATTTGTCCTATTAGTAAGACTTTTTAACCAAAAGGAGTTATATGAATGAAAATTAAAACGTCAGGCAATGTTAGTGTAATGTTTCAAACGTGAGAGGATTTTATGAAAACACGGTAAACCTCAGGGAGTGTTTATGTAATTAACCCATTCTTTCACTCAAATTTGACTTTTGTAAATTAAAGTAATTTGAAATATAAAATTTAAAAAAATAAGTTCATTGCCTTATATTTCATAGGAATTTTACTATCATCAATCGTACGATGACAATTCTTTCTCCAAAACACATGATCGATTAGCCCAGTTGCACTAGGGTACCGTTTGATACGTAAACGAGACGAAATGGGATAGAATGCGATGTGCTACGTTTGGTATGCATAGGCCGGAATAGGACAATTGTTTTTTTCAACGTTTGGTACACAGAACAGAATGAAACAAAAAGATTAAATGACTAGTGTACCCATGTTCGTTGTTTTTTTTTTTTTTTTTTTTAAGAACAAATGATATTATCTACACTCTAAATCTGGGCTAGCTGTGAGCAAGTCCAAAATGACGACCATGACCCTGTCGTCAAATGGCGACAAAGAAGGAGGTGAAAGAGATGATGCCAATAGAGAGGGAAGTCCAGTGAAAGTTGGTATTTGGTTATTACGGCGAGATGGGACCAGTGAGTGGATTCTGTAGCAGGTGAGATGACGCTGCCATGGTTTCGACAGAAAAGAAGAGGAGGCATTAGATCAGCATATATGGGATCGACGGAGGAGGGGATATAGGTGGGATCGACGGAGGAGGGATTAGTTCAGCATATTTGGAGGATCCTGAGATCCGGGAATCTTGTGATCGTGTTCATTTATCGTATATTATGTGGTTAGTTTTTGTTAGATACTATTTATATTTAATTTTAAATTTTAAATTTTAAATGATTTCTGACCGCACAATGTATGATAAACGGACACGATCACAGAATCCTTAGAATTCTCAAGAAAAGGATTCGGCAATGATCCCTTTCCTATTTGGAGGGTAGAATTATTGCAAAAGAGAAGGGATAATTTGTCCAACGAAGTTCTAATTTTGTGTTCCACATGGTGGAACAAGTTTGTTCCACGGGAGGAGAGTGTGGAACAAAAGATTGGACCAAATCTGTTTCAAGAACAATGCGTGCCATGCTATTTTGTCACGCTAACTATGGGACGAACTACTTTCGTCCCACTGCATTCCATCCCATCCTACATAACACAATAATAACAAAAATGTCTTCTTCACAGACGAGCAATCACCCAGAGGGGCCCCAACTCTGTGTAGCCACTTGCCTAGTGGTGCCTTGTTACTTGGTCAACCAAGGCGGCCACAAGTACCCGTACTATTTGTGGCAGTTTGTCCAATTCTTGCTCACTACTCAAAGTTAATTGACTAAAGCCAGGAACCCAGCTGGACCCTCTTCCATTTAATCCAACATTATCTCCAAGCAACTTCTTGTGCCCTCACTTTCTATGCATGCTAAACCCCAGATGCTCTTCAGACAATACTCAAAAGTGAATAAATATATTGAGAATTGTTCATATGGAGGGAAGTTCTGCGATGTCAAATGGAAGAGAAGGCACTGAAATTGACCTGTCCAAGATAACACTGAGGCCGTTGGATCTCGCGGATATTGATGATTTCATGGTATGGGGCACAGATGAGAAAGTCACAGTTTTCTGCACTTGGGAACCCTATGCTTCCAAAGAAGAAGCCCTAAACTTTATCAAGGATGTTGTCGTCCCACACCCCTGGTTTAGAGCAATCTGCCTTGACAACAGGCCAATCGGTGCCATTTCAGTAACCGCTTTCCCGGGCAATAATCGGTGCAGAGGTGAACTTGGATATGTTTTGGGGTCCAAGTACTGGGGCAAAGGGATTGCATCCCAGGCTGTGAAATTGGTGGCTGATACAATATTCAAAGAGTGGACACATTTGGATAGACTTGAAGCTCTTGTTGATGTGGACAATGTGGGATCGCAAAGGTTACTTGAGAAGGTGGGCTTTCAGAGAGAAGGTGTGCTGAGAAAATATTGTATGTTGAAGGGAAGGAGTAGGGACATGGTGATTTTCAGTCTTCTCTCTACGGATTGGCAAACTTGATGTATTTGTACCAAGTAAAAGTAATAGGACAATTATGAATGTTCTATCTGATATGTACTTATGATTTTAATTGGTAAAAATGTAATGGTATTTCATGAATCCACCTTTTATATTATAATGATAATGTTTGTGTCTTCACTCCTCCCACTTATGATTTAACAAATCTTTATCGTTCGAACATCATAATCAGAACAATTTATTCTCTTTTTCATCCTTTAATGATTATGTAGGAAAAAAATTATTCAATTCGAGATTGTTTAGTCATCCATATGTCTTAAACCAATTAAAAGTTTTAGTAACAAGCAACATTATCATGATGAACCGTCAATTTGTTTTATGCATATGAATGATTAAAAGATTTTCAAATTGAATAATTTTTGCAAATATGATTTTTAGATAATGATGAAAAGAATGAACAGTTCTGATTTTTATGTCTGGACGGTAAAGATTCATTAATCGTAAGTGGGGAAACACAAACATATATTATTCTTTAATGATTAATTAAGAGGCTTTATTTGGTCTTCTTCGCCTAATTTCTCTAGGCAAAACCCAGACCCAGACCGTTGAGGAAGAGCATGATGGCCTTCTTCAGGGATTTGATCTTCTCGGTGTCGTTTCCTTCAAGGGTTTCCTTGATCTCAGGGAAGCAGTGTGAAGTTATTGAAGTGAGAGCTCTCTCTCTCTCCTATGCAAACATAAAGACTGCGAACGTGACACAGAGTATGCATTCCAATGTGACAATTTCTGAGGCTAATGGAAAGAGCTTGAAATGCACTATTTGGAGTTATTTTCGTTTCTGTATAAAAACAATTTTTTTTAATGATCAAGATCGGTCAAAAACTTGAGAGAAGATAAGCAAAGTTCTCTCCGGTGTGAGAGTGTTTTCTCCTTTGTGAGATCCGCCCTAGTGCGTGTTTTGTTTCTTTGTTCTTTGAATTCCTTTGTCTCCTTGTCCTGTATTTCTCTCTGTTGGTTCCTTCAGTCCTGTGCCGATTGTGTGATCTATGGCGTTTTATCTTCTTTCGGTGGGGGATTTGGGTGGGTGTAGGTGGGGTCTTAATTTCTGGTTTGATCGGCCAATTAATTGAGGGGTTTTGCAGTGCGTTTGGTGGCTTGGTCCTGTGTGGAGGGTTCCAGCTTTAACTCCTCCTCACCTATCTCTGTCTTGATTCTTGGTTTGATCGGCCAATTTATTGAGGGGTTTTGCAGAGCGTTTGGTGGCTTGGTCCTGTGCGGAGGGTTTAGGCTTTTACTCCTCCTCACCAGTCTCTGGTGGGTAGGGGATTTGCAAATGCACTGTTTGGAGTTACTTTCGTTTCTGTATTTATGAGGATCTCTTCAAGGGGGAGTCTTGGTCTTAAATACGGCATTTATTGGCAATTTGGGATCTCACCGACTGGTGGTTTTCATCTGCGTATCTCACCCTCCCCGTACTGGTATGTGATAGTGAATGCATTTATGGGATTGTTCTTTTTGCCTTATATTTCCGGGTGTAGTGGGTCACGGCCCCAGACGTTTCTCAACTTCCTTTGGGGACTTATACTGAGGGTTGGTGCAGCGAGTCTGGTGCACTATGCAATTCTGGTTTGGCAATTTGTCAATCTGTGTTCTTCTCAAATGGAGAACAGTGGGGTGGATGAGCTTGTGGTCCATTTGGATCAGGCGTTGGATTTATCGTCTCTGGAGCAAGGAGTCAAATTGATTGGGAAAGTTCTGACGAGCAAACTGCTGAACAAATGGGGAGTTAGGAATATACTCAGATCGGCCTGGAAAGATTTGGGAAAGGTTGACATCAAATGGGCTAGGGATAATACAATTTTTATCTTGGTCCAAGATGAAAGTATGGCCTCCCAAATTCTTGAACAGGTGTCATGAGCAGTGATGAAGAAGGTGTTCTCTGTCAAGAAATGGCCCTCAGAGCTAGCCTTAGAGGAAGTTGAGATGGAGACTGTCCCATTCTGGGTTCAAATTCGTGGCGTTCCACTGGGCTTGATGTCTGAAACTAATATTCAACGTCTTACCCAAGCGGCTGGCCAGTTTATTGTTTTGGATGACCCAGGTCAAGCTCGTGGATTTTTACGAGTTTGACTCCTAATCGAAACGGGGAAGCCGTTATGTAATGATTGCTGGATTCGACGGGACCAGAACCGTGATACTTGGGTGGACTTCCGGTATGAACGGCTCCAAGATTTCTGTTACCGATGTGGACGCATTGGGCATGGTAATACTAAATGCACTTTTCAGGTTCCAGGTGAAGGGGTGGCTGCGTATGGGGAGTGGACAAAGGCGCCTCCAGTTCGGGATGTTATGGAGCCTTTGAGATTGATAACTGTGGGGATGGGCGAGCGATGGCAGGCTGGTGAGGTGAGGGGCTCTGGCCTTCCTCTGTCTAAGAACAAAAGGGGAGGACGAGTCTTGACTTCACCAAGGGGGGATGTAACTCGGGCTAGTGCAACTGGGGCGGGTTCTGTACACCAGGGCAGCAATCAAAAGAAGTGGCGCCGCAAGCCACGATCTTTGGGTTTACCTGACCAGGTTTCAGGGATTGTGGGTGATGGGGACCGTCCGTTTCTGCCGCAGGTTGAGGAATGCGGCTCCTCTTATAGCAATTCTGGACGTCAACAAGAGGGTGGCGGGCAGTCGGGTTCTATCCTTGCAGCTACTGATGATGTCTTTATGTGGGTGAAGCAGATGAATAGGGCCCCAAAAGGGGTATAGAAACGAAAGGCTTGGAGCTGTCTTCATCTCCGCTAAAAAAGTTCAGGGGCCCTGGTCTAAAGGAGACTAATACAAGCAGGGTGGCCGACTTCTGGAGGAGAATGAGTTTTAAGGAAACTTGCTTAGTGGTGGAATGGGCTTTCCTTAAGGAGGACGACCGGCGGGAAGTTCAATGTGAGGCTCGTGATAGGAGGGCCTTATTAGAGGATGTCCCGGACACTGACCAGGATCTGAGTTTGGTACACAAGGCGGGCAAGATAGCTCGGGGCGGTGGCGGCTGGCCCTCAACAGCCGCAAGTCAGCCATGGGTAATATTTTTTGGAACCGCCGTAGTCTAGGGTCGGACACGGCAGTTACGGCCCTCCATGGGCTTATTCGAACTAAGCGACCCTCTGTGATTTTTTTATCTGAAACTAAGATGAAAGATCATAGAATTGGTGGGGTGCGGAGGCGATTGGGTTTTCAGAACGGTTTTAATGTCTCTCCTATTGGCAGGGTTGGAGGCTTAAGCTTGTGGTGGGGTGACTCGTTGGAGGTTCAAATTGTTTTTTCTTTTCCAAATATTATTGATTCGGTTCAGCGCACTAAAGGGGATCATAGATGGATTCGTGTCACTGGGGTGTATGGGACTCCTTATAGAAATGAAAAACAATTGTTTTGGGGTTGGATGATAAATCACTTTAGTCATTCGGAGATTCCTTGGATTTGTGGTGGGGATTTTAATGAGTACATTTGGGCTCATAAAAAGGCTGGTGGGGTTGAGGTTTTGTATAATAGGCCCAGGTATTTGGAGGACTTCATGAATTCCTCGAATCTGTTTGATTTGGGCTTCAATGGGTCGGCTTTTACTTGGCGAGGGTCAAGATATGGGGAATGGGTGGAGGAACGACTTGATCGAGTCCTTATTAATGATTTATGGCAGGACCTTTGGCCTAACTCCACTGTTACGCATGGCACTGTTTTGGCTTCTGATCATTGCCCTTTTATAATTAAGTCTGATTTGGATGGTCCGAAAGGTAGGAAGCTGTTTAGGTTTGAAGCTTTTTGGGCTAAGGAGGAGGAGTGTCAAACTTTGGTCCGTTCTTGTTAGGCGCACAGGTAGCACGGTGATGTTCTGTTGAATTGGGGGAGAAAACTAAACGCTTGCCGATCTAGGTTGTGTCGTTGGAGCGGTACCAAGTTTAAAAGGCAGGGCCACTAAATTCAAGATCTTCTTGCTCAATTAGATGATCTCCAGAAGGAGTGGGGTCCTAACCAAGATGTGATAAAGGAGAAATCTCAATTAATTGATGATCTAAGGGTGCAGGAAGAAAGTTATTGGTGTTAGCGGTCTAGAGTTAGATGGTTGCGAGATGGGGATGCTAATACTAAGTTCTTTCATCATTCAACTTTGCACCGGCGTCGTAGGAATACCATTGTGAGGCTTAAGGATGAGGATGAGTGTTGGGTGGAGCGTCCTGATCAGGTTCGTCGCTTGGTGGAGAACCATTTTGTTGACATTTTTCAGCTCGGCTGGGTCTCGGAACTGGGGATCCTTATTGGACTGTATCTCTCCTATGGTTTCTGATGCTATGAATATGGGTTTGGTTGCGCCGGTTTCGGATGATGAAATTAAGGAGGCAGCTCTGGAAATGGGGTGCTTGAAGGCTCCTAGCCCGGACGGATTCCAAGGGGTGTTTTACCAATCATTTTGGGAGACTATTAGAGCGGACGTTCTAGCTTTGGTTAAAGCTCTGATTCAGGACTCTACCATCCCCGGTACTCTGAATGATACTCATATTGTTCTTATCCCAAAGGTTGCTAATCCTGAATCTGTATCGCAATTCAGGCCTATCAGCTTATGTAACTATTCTTACAAAATTCTGTCAAAAGTTCTCGCCAATAGACTGCGTGTGTTAATGCCGACCATTATTTCTCCCTCTCAGAATGCTTTTGTAGCGAGCAGACAAATTCAGGATAGTATTGGTATAGCTCATGAAATTTTTCATTTCTTGAAAGGGAGGACTGCAAAGACTAAATTTTAGTTGGGCATTAAACTTGATATGCAGAAGGCTTATGATAGGGTTGAATGGGATTTTCTGGAGGCGGTTATGGATAAGATGGGGTTCTGTCCGATGTGGAGACAGCCTGTTATGGGCTGTGTTAGTTCGGTTCAGTTTCAGGTTTTGTTAAATGGGCAACCTGGGACTAAGTTTGCTCCCTTCAGGGGCCTTCGTCTGGGGGATCCTCTTTCCCCTTATTTATTCATTTTGGTTGGGGATGTTCTTTCCCGGATGATTCAGGGTGCGATGGATCATGGGCGGCTGGTTGGTGTGAGGATGGATTTCTCGGGACCGGTTATTTCCCATCTTTTCTTTGCTGATGACACTTTAATCTTCCTGCGAGCTGATGAGATCAACTGTCGGCTTCTGAGAGATCTTCTTG